TAACTACTAAAAATAATTTTTATAGTAATAAAAAATAATGTTGGATTAAAAAATCCATTAACTGCTTGAAAATTACTTTATTTATGTCTCAGGTCTAAAAATAATGCTAGCAGATATCAACTTCAAAATGTACCGACAAGAGATGCACATTTTTTAAGTAATTGAACCTTACTTTACCAATATAGTTTCTGTGATCTAATTAGTAGATCATACTGTGGCTAAAGGTGTAGTTTCCTTAATGGAAAAAGGGAATAGAGATTTTAAACTTGTTGGGAGACACATTTTTCTTTGGTAAGACTTATCATACTAGACTGGTCAACATTAATTTCATTGCTTGAAAAATAACAGAGGTATCAACTCAAATAGGTACACTAAAATAATACATATAGTAATAAGAAATAATGTCAGATTAAAAAATTCATTAACTACATTGTCCTGGGCATGATGATAAACTACATCTGGCAGCAAGGCCTCTGATCGGAAGATTGGAGCTTTTGAGGAACTTGGCACCACCTCTTAATATTTCTATAGCAACAATACATTTTTATAGTAAAATGACCAAGAGTATATTTTTATAGTAAAATTACCAGCAATAAATTTTATGATCTACAAAGTATATATTTAAAAAACATACCTTTTACCTTGAAAGTACAAAATTATGCACAAAATATTTAGATTTTGACATTAAATAACCCATAGAAATTGTTATGCTGCTAAACAAAATCTACCAACCAACAAACATGTATATGTACAAAAGCTGAGTATCATCTACCATGTATTCAATTGTGAAAGCAAAATAACATATTTTTTATTACTTTGAAGCTCCCAAGAAAATTGATATAATGTTAAACAAACCAATCAATCATTAACTGCATGCAACTACAGAGAGATATCTAAGGTTTTTGCATCTCTTATTGTAGGCCACTATCTTTGCTGCTACTGTGTCTCTTCATATTTAATCAGCATGTCCTGCATTTCAATTTAGCAAATTAAGCAATCCTAAAACCATATCAAGCAGAGACAGTTTTTATTCATTTTCAAACAAGGAAAAATATAGCACAATGTCTTTTTGATGTAGGGTAGCACACAGGTATTTAAGTAGTAGCAAAACTAGCCCAGTTCTACCAGTTTCGTCCACAGGTGTCACAGCCATCAAGGAATACCCTATTAAATTAGTGTAATGAAGATGCACTGCTTGGGGGGACATTTGCTTGATTAATTTATACCCAACTCCATCTGAGATGAGATAAGGTTTAATTTTTCAGAATGAGGCTTGCAAAGTTTAGAGTGGTAACCACTGAACCTTTTAAAAAAGGTTAATTTTTGTTTTGTCCAAGATGTATAGATTCTTTCTTTTTTCTAGGTAACATAATGGTTATCAGTGAGAGAAATGGAATCAGTAAACTGAGTTCAAGTCCTAGTCAAGACTGTTGCATTCACTTTGCACTGATGCTCTTGGGAATGGCATGAATCCATTTCATTTAGCCTTGTATCACAGCCAGTTTAGAAGGACTACTCTGAACCCAAAACAAGAAGGTAACAAAAAACCACTATCTTTCTTAAGAAGTGATGGTAATTCACAGATAATAATTAATTTTTTTTTTTAAAATGAATCTTTCAAGAGCCATGATTGACCATGTCCTGCAAAGACATGACATTCTTAAATTGATTTTATTGTTACTTTTTTCTACAGTTTCAGTTGAGTTTCTACCCTTCACCCTTTTTCTAGCAGATATCAATGTTATGTTCCAGAATATTGATGAATCTTATTTAGGGAGCTCATGCACATTTCTCACACATATAAAACTTCTGGTTTTTGTGTTCCTGTGATTCTAGGGTTGTCATCTCCCAACCTCTGTACTGACCTCGGAGCCACTCTTCAAGTTTTGTACCTGCACCCATGTCTGTGGGGTCTCAATTTGCCTTCTGCTTTTTTATTTATTATGACTGTCTCTAAATGATGCTGATGTTGATTCTCACAGAAGCTCATGTTGGCAGATGGTTTTAGTCTTATTTGCCTTCTCTACCTTCTTCTTGACTTGAAAAAGGATTCACCTGTTGTAAATGTGGGGTGAGTGACTATTCACAAAAAGTAGATGGGCAAAATGACACAACAGTAAAAATCATGGTAAAAGGAATAACTGAAATGAGTACGAATTTTGGCTGAAGCTGTACCAAATTCAAGTGCCAATATTATGAAATTATTCCCTTCAGTTCTACCCCTCCTAGTATGGTATTTATTTGTTCTGGTGCACTTTTCATTTTTTAAATAATTTTCTCCACAGCACAATTATTTTATTCTAGGAATAAAAAAAATAGTTTTGCTGCTGCTGTGGTTTTTGTATCAAGTAGGCTTCTTTTTTTTTCTTTTTTTTTTTTTTTAGGTGGAGCTAGCCTCACTTTCCAACTGGTTTGGAATTCAAGTTATTCTTATGTTAAACCAGTTGACAACCAATGATAAAGAATCCAATTTGCATTTAATCCATTGTTCAGAGGGGGGAGATGAAAATGATTCATACTTTTCCCAAGAGTATTTGTGTGAAAGAGAATGCAACGACCTCTGACTATGCACACATCCAGACAATTAATTTTCTTTATTAACTGTGAAGTAAAATGATTTCCCATTGACTTCAACATGGTTTCAAATTTAGAATTATCTTTCTTCTAGATTGGCTGCTAGCTATGGCTAGAGAGCCTAGTGTATTCTGCTATTTAACCCATAGCTGGGTTTGGGAAGAAGAAATGGATTTATGCCTTTCCCAAAGGAAAAAATACAAAAATAAGAATAAGAGATGAAGGCGGATATTGAACTTGACTCTTGGCTGTTACTTTCCACACTAATAACCATTACGTTACTGGCACAGACTCAGTCATATGAACTATATTCTTCCTTATTCAATTTTATCCCTGCTAAATTGTATTCAATGTGTGCAAAAGTTTCCAGCACACTTTTTGAAATGTAAAACCTGAATACATTGTAGAAAACAGTTTTTTCTGTATTTTTTTTAAATAAAAATCTCTAGGAACTTTTGTACACACTCCATAACACACTCCATTGTGAATTCCACTGTGACAATTACTATAAAAAATTCATGTAAAAAAAAAAACAAAAAAAAATCAGAAAAATACAATCTTATGCCTCTTGCCACTACCTAAGAGCAAAGAAATTATTAACCAATGAGGTTCTCAGACGGGATTTGCAAATTATTTTACTGTGAAAAAGCATTGCAATTGATTTTACTATTAACCAATGAGGTACATGATTTACATTGCTCAGACTATCATCCTCATCTTTGTTGCCATATTTATCACAATGTTTCAGCCGTTGTATGTTCCGACCTTCTTCAGGTGGTTGGCATGTTGAACTAAGCCATTTATTTCACTCGCTGGGGTAGACTGGGGTAGAAATATAGACAGATAACCAATGAGGTGTTTGGACAAGATTTTTCTTGATTTTGAGCCTGTTTACAGCAACACTGTGTCTGGGTCAGAGTATTAAAAGTCAAATATCCTGAAAAAAATTTTTTGAGAAGGAAATCTCATCCTCTGGATTATTTTCCACTAATTATAGGAATGTAATTTGAAACCCGTGATAATTTAAAAAGATAACTTTATATGCCTACCAACCTAAATATAAACTTGGTTCTCAGCCAGTTAAAATTGCTATTTATTCACACCTCATCAGAGTGAATAGTTAGTACATAGGGCCAAACACATCAATTTTCAACTGACATTAGCCTCCAAAATTCAAATGTAGTCAACTGAAGACTCTGGGTAGCAAACTAAACACTAAAAATTTGTTCTGAAACTACTCTCAAACAGACCAAGCCTTCCTCAAAAATACATAATTCAAACTGCTACCATAATTCTTCATTCAACACTCCTCATCGATTGATCTCTTGTCTCTTAACAGGTCAGAACATTAACAACAGTGTCTGAACTGTATCCTTCTACCAAGGACATTTTTTTAACTTTATCAACTAATGTCAGTCGTGCTTTCATATGAATATTTTCCTCTACTTAGCTTAATTTTTATTAGGCACTCAAAATATTTGAGCAAACCTTAGCAATCCTTAATTTTCTTTTCACATAAATTATTGCAAATAAAAAATTCTTTTAGTTCAATTTCTCACTAAGGGTCATATTTTGTGCACCTAATGAACTATGATTTTTTCTATATGGGAAAATCACCATATAATTATTATACCGTGATATGGTGGTACATTATATTATAATGTATCAAGATGATGAATTTTAGTCTCTATAAGTAGACGTACCTTTCAAATTGATTTGCATAAAAAGGACAATTTGATTTCAAAAGCTATTTTTGTTCTTGCCCAACTGGTCTTTCAAAGTGGTTATTCCACTGTATTCCACTGTACATGTAAAATGAACACTTGAATGTTTCAATAACACAAAATGAAAAAAAGATGACAGCAAAAATAGTTAAAAAAAAATTTAATAACAGTATATATGTCTTCAAACAATAGTTGGTTATAAAGTCAACAGGTGCTTCTCTAGAAATACTTCTCTAGACAACTTCAGCAACAAACAATTTAACTAATTTTTTTATGCTTATCTGATGCTTAAGGCAATGGTTTCCAAGTATAATAATAATAATAATTTCAATACAGTTTGAGAGCAATTTTCAAATTTACACAAATCATTTCTTTCATGGTTACATATGTTTGTGTATATTTAATAAGCTCGAAGACAATTTTTTTAATTGAATCAACAAGGTCTGTTTGTATTTTTCCAATTTTCAAATAAGCTGTTACACATGTACTTTTGATAGTTTAATCACAGTTTTGATCCAAATATACAAGAACTTATTTGAAAATTGGATTGAATTTAATAAAATTTGTTTCTCTCTTTCTGTATATTATGATGTGATACTACAAGTTACATATTAAAGAAGAGGAAGATGAACTAATCTCATAGTTAAGAACATTTCCTTTCCAACCAACCAACCAACCAACCAACCAACCAACCAACTTTACTTTGTGTATACATGCCAGCAAATGGTGACAGTGAATAGATGTACTTCCATATACCATGGCATCATCGCTGGATGGACACTTGATCTTTGATATCATATATCCCGCTTCCCTGTGGTAGATCACATAACCATGAAAAGATACAGAGGCACCAAAATGAAAGAATCAACAGTTGGAAGAAAGTGGCTGAATGAATCTTATCAACACCTGTGCTTTATCTGTCCAGAGGAGCAGAAAAGGCAGTAACCAAAGGAAATTGTAGATTTAATCAGTTTACTATATCTATGAATTACAGATATATCTTGAACATTAACTTTGATGACTATAAGCATTAATTGCTTAGCAATTAATAAACATTGAAATTATCCATGAATTTGGACATTCCATTTCTATGAACATATCAACTAAATCAAGTCTTTTCATATGAACATATAAATGTATTGACTCTAAGGCACATGATAAGTACCATATGAATTCTCTTGACATGACATTGAAATTTCTGTATTAAATGCCACATTCACTGAATGTTCACACAATCAAACTATTTCTTTTCATCTTTCTCTTTTTCTGTTCTTACATTTTTATATTATTGAATTAAACTGTTTGCATTAAATTGAATCCATGTGTTCACTGTCATTCTTTCACTGATTGTCCTATTTTGCTTGTCTTGTCTCTATTCTGTAGACAACCTTTACTTATATGAACCCAGGAAATCATACCAACAGTCAAAGTATCTAATTCTGGCTTAAATATAAATTCATGACTGTGACTTTGGCTGTGACAATATATATATATATATATATAAAGAAATATAGTCTTAAGATGTGCTATATTTATGGGATAAAGTGCTCAATATCAGAGATAGAGTGTGTGTGTAAATAATAAAGTGAACATAGAAGTCAACACTTAGAGGCGACAGTCTGTTTCATGCTAGATGCAATCGTCAGGCCACAGTTGCATCTAGCATGAAACAGACTGTCGCCTCTAGTGTTGACTTTATGTTCACTTATATATATATATATATATATATATATATATATATATATATATGTATATAGTAAAATTAACTAGACACAATATAGTTCAGCTATTCACTTACTCTTGGGGCCTTATCTGGTGGGTTATGTATACTTGGATGAGTACCACCACTGGAATTTAGTGAGTACTTGCACCACATTGAGTCTAGTTAGTTTCTTCTTCACCACCAAGGTCCATTGGTCCAGTGGTATGATGCTTGCATTGTATTGTAATGGTCCTGGTTCAATTCTCAGTAGTGGATGTGCACTGCTGAGGAGTCCCTAAAAGGATGGAATGGTCATCCAGTGCTTTCTTCATTCTGTTAAAGCTTCTTCTAGACTTGATGAATTACTATGAATGATTATTCAAAATCCCCACCAAATTTCTAACACTTTTACAATAAGTTATTGTGTATTGGGATCAAAATTGTGGATAGACTGTCCGAAGTTCATATTTATGGTGTCGTTTCTTCAAGTACTTTTGATCAGCATAAGCAACATCAACATATCTCTCTCCCTCTCTCTCTCTCTCTCTGTATATATATATATATATATATATATATATATATATTAATTAACAAATTCTCAGTTGTGTTATTATTATAATACATAAACACATAGATAGATATATAGTTAGAGAGAGAGATAACACCAGAAATTTTATTGTATAATGTATACATACAATGAAATTTTCAGATATTATCTATCTCAGTATATATATATATATATATATATATATATATATACATAAATATATATATATATATATATATATTTTTTAAAATAACATAGAATCCTGACATTTTTAAAAATTATGACAAATGGAAAACATTTCATTGAAAAGAGATTTGACTGAAAATAGATTTGATTATGCATTTTGCTATTCTAGGCTTCATCATATTCAAAAACAAAAGAAAGAAATGTGTATTTATGTATATCTGAATAAAAAGACATGAGAAAAAACTATTCTTAGCACTTGCCTTGATAAAGTCTCTCAGAGGACAAAACACATTGGCTAAGAATAGTTTTTCTGCTTGTCTTTTTATTCACTTTGTTCCTTCACAGATACACTCTATGTGAAAATAACTTAAATATATCTATCTATCTATCTATCTATCTATATATATATATATATATATATATATATGACATATCCAACAGTTGAAATGTTCATTGTATAATGTCTCATCTATGAGATTAAAGATGTGTTGGGTTAAGTGCAGTGACAAGATGATTATATTGATAAATAAATTTGTTGTGCAAAACATTTGTGTATTCTAATGATGAAAAAAAATGGTTTATTTTTTTGTACAATACCTGTACCCACCCCAACACAGAAACACAGTTTGTTTTTGTCTTGTTTTTGTTTAATAAGCCATTGTTTTGCTATGTTTACAGGTTAAGTATTATTTGGCTTAACAGGTCAATGGTTGAATCAAACAGCATGTGGGGGATTATATCTTTTGTAATCTCTTTCAGTATATTCAAAAGGCACAAAAAGCTATTTACTGGGTATATTACAGCAGTTCCCAAAGTCCAAGGTCACAATACTCCCCATGTAATTACTGATTATCTCAATTCCTCCCCATTTTTAATTGTTTTTGTAATTTTCTTTTTGCCATAGAATTTACGAATCTCTATCTATAAAAGGCAGGATGTGTGTGTGTAACAGATGCATGACCACAATTTTTGACGGATTTGCACCAAAATTTACATGCACATGCTCCAAGTTAGCGGGAAGCCCAAGACCAACTTTGCATTTCCCAACTCCCATCGATAGTGGAAATAATCAATTTTTTCATGCTTCTACGGCAGTTTTCATGTAGTTTGTGGCCATTTTCTACTGGCCAGAGTGAGAGCCTATAGCTGGCTGCCATGAATAGGCAGGAAGATTCTATTGGCCAGAGTGAGAGCCAACAGCTGACTGACACGAATGTTAACTAGCATACTAGCATGCAAAAAAAAATCGATAGCTGCATTCGTCACAAGTGTGAAAAATTTAAATCTGCATGGCACTTTACTCCAATTGGCTCATTCGCTTGCTTAAACTCAACGTTGATTCTGATTCCACAGAACTGGGTTGGGTGTGAAAAAGTATTTGTTGTTAACATTCTTTTTTCATTTGGTTTTTCCAGTTACGAGTTCTTTTTTAAAGCTGATTGTTTTGTGTTCATTTTGTTTAGTTCTTTTTTCGTAACAGATTTAATGTTTAGTATAGAGCTTAGAAAAAATTTGCAGTATGAGGTAGGCAAGAATTAAGGCATGTAGCAACATCAGCATGGCAAAGGGCACTCCTTTAAAGGCAAGGAAGGGCAAAAATATTTTAAGTCAAGTGATAGTGATTACTGTATGAGTCATACGATTTTTGAATCAAGCACGGGCAACGCTGGGCCATGCTGCTAGAAAATTATATAAATGATGAAAACATCTTTTTTTCATAGTACTAAGGAAACCTTCAAGTCTACTCAACTTTTTATAGCTTGCCAAGAATTACAACATCTTTTAGACAGGATATATAGTCCCCACCAAATCGTGCTCCCATGTTTCAGCAGGTAAATTTAGGTAGTTTCAGCTTTGTGATGAGATCTATCAAAAGTTAAATCTGATATAAAATGGTATATGAACATACATTTATCTGTTTAATGACGGGACAGTACAAAGTTTTTGGCCCAACCCACTTCCCAAAATATTCTAAGAATATTTTTTTCATAACTTCTTAGTTGTGCTATTAGCTTTTCATCACTCTCCCCCCCTCTCTCTCTCCCTATATATATATATATATGAGTGGTGAAAAGCTAGAGTGGTGAAGAGCAAGAAAGATAGATAAATAGTGAGAGATCTTTTAAATGCAATAAATTTTAATAATTTATGTTTTAAGTGTAATAGATTTGTATTTATATGTCTCAGAATTAACTATTTCAATGAAAAAAAAATTATACACTTATTAAACATGATGAACAAGAATAAAAGTTAGTTTTTAAAAAATTGTTTTATTTCACTGAAATAGATTGTTAATTTTGGGATATCCTGTGTATATATATATATATATATATATATATATATATATATATATATATATATATATATATATATAAAATATATATATTTTCCTCACCAGTAACACAACTCTGAGTGACATTGCAATTGTCAGGTTCTGTTTGAAAACTAATGTTACTAACAGGGCTTTTTTTTTTTTTAAAATTGCATTAATAACATTCTAAATTTCTTAATTAATTTTTCATACAATCCAATATTATTTGTTTTATTAAAATAATTTTTATATTAATTTTTACACAATTTTAAGTTTAGTTTTTCATACAATTTTAATATTATCTTTTTCTATTAAAATATTTTCTATTTTTACACAATTCCAATATTTTAACTATTTTTTCTCATGAAATTTTGATATTATTTTTATAAAAAATTTTTAGACATGTTATGTTTAATTTATTCTCAAATACTTTAAGACTGTTTCACTTATCATCATGTCAGTGTGTTAGACAAAAATCTTTTGGCTACATCCTGGCATTTTTAGTGATGCTAACAGTTAAAAGGCACAAGAACACACCAGAAAGAGATGTATCAAGTATAGACTCATATTACTATTTTGTATGCATATTAAGCAATTTATATGCATACACACTTCAAAATACCATCTCCTCTGGTGAAAGATAAAATCCATGTTGCTTCTTTTGTTTAAAAGGCTTCTAGAGCACACATATATATTCATCATCGCCATCAGTAGCTCGACTGCTTCAATCGTCAGGGGACCTAAGGACAGAAGAAACAGACAACTTCATCCAGGATGATCTGTTGGTAGTGACTCTCAGTAGTTCCTACACTGTCATGTCTGCCTACGCATGTCTGACCAGCTCTTGCATTGCAGTCCATGCTGGTGCCCACCTTCAACAACATGGTCTTGCAGAATCTGTTATATTGCGAGATGTGGCCAAACGATGCTATCTTTCAATGCTTAATAGTGGCGATGAGAGATTCTTGTTGGCCTACAAAACTTTTGACTTAGTGCTCCCAGTAGATGCAGAGGAGCTTTATCAAGTATTTTTTTTCAAGCATCTGGATCCTTTTTCCTGCCTCAACCAGAAATGTCCAAGTCTCACACCATAGAGGAGGATAGATATGACTAGCAATTTGTAGAGCTTGAAATTGGTCTGTAAGCTGATGTTACATTTCCATATCTTTTCCAGTCTGGCCATCACTGCTGTGGCAATCAATGTTTGGATTTCTACATTGCTGGTACCATCTTTGGTGCTGGTGCCAGGGTTGCTCCCTGAAGCTGGACACTTCCTCCAGTGGTTCACTGTCCATGGTGACACTGGCAATGTTATTGCTTGTACTATTCACCATTACTTTGGATTTCTCTGTGTTGAGTTCTACGACATATATGCTGGTTCTTACAATGAGTTTGTTGGTTAGATCTTGCAGCTCAATGTTACTGCCTGCCTCAAGGTCAATTTTGTCTGAAAAATGCAGATTGCAAACAGATCTTTCACCAATATAGAAGAACTGTAGTCATGGAGGGTTTCCTGCATAACTCTCTACAGAAACAAACTGAAGAGTGTTGGAAAGAGTAGGCAATAGTTGTGTGGAAGAACTGCACCAGTGGCATGGTCATACAGGGCCTGGATTCCTTGTATGAGGCCTTCTTCTATGTTGAATCTTCTGAGGATGTGACAGAGGCCATCATGCTGTACCCAATCAAATGCTTTCTTGAAATCAATGAGACTGCAGAACAGGACCCTCTGATTTTTCAAAGAAGTATCTGAATGGATCTCATAATTGTACAGGTTGCAGTATTTGGTCCACCTATTCAGAATGTCCACTCATTATATATTAGGGTGTGTCAAAGTTATCCCCTTCATTTCTTTTCCTTTATATTCTACATAATCCACCAAGATCTATAGTACATACTAACTGCTAATTTTCTAAAGAAAACTAAACATGTCATTCAAATTATTTTATATTATCTAATTAATTGCATTTTAGTAAAGTCTTGGTTAATATATCAAGAACTTTGACATGATTGTTCACGCGCATCAGCCACACTTTTGAAAACTTATTCACACTTTGGAGAAAACAATTGATAAATACAATCCACAAAAAATGTCTATTGTTTTTCATAATAATAATGATATATATATATATATATATATATATATATATATATATTTAGGCATGTCTGATTGAATAAATTACAAACATTATGTCTGCTTATTTTTATCATAATCCTTTCATATTTATGATTACTTTTTTTTAGATATTACAATTAAATAAGGCAATAAGTATTGCCTTATTTAATTGTCATATACAGAAAAATATTTGTGAATATGAAAGGATCATGAATTGATGACTTTCCCAAGAGTGTTTCTGCAATACCTCTGAGTATATATATATATATATATATATATATATATATATATATATATATATATATATATATATATATATATATGGGGCGCACGGTGGAGTAGTGGATAGCGGCTCAGATTGAGGAATCAGAGAGCTGAGTTCAAATTCCAATTGAATCCATTACATTCACTTACATGCCTTTAATCCTCTTCTTCTCCCTCCAGCTATGGGTAAATAGAAGGACAGACTGGGTTCTATAGCCTTGGATGGTAACTGGTCTAGGAGAAGGACAACTCTGAATTCAAAACCTGCAGAGGGTTGTTTGGGGACCTTGTGGCATGTAGTGCACCAGGTCTCTGTATTCAGTCCTTCAAAATCGTATGAGCTGGTGTCTGGCTGTCGGTTGCTAGGAACTGAGCTGCCTGACCCTCATACGTTGAATATGATGAGAGAGTCCACCATATATTTATATATATATATATATATATATATATATATATATATATATATATATGCACACACACACACACACACACACAGACCTCAATTGATACAGTGTGGATGTAAGAATGAACACTGCATGGTTTCACATTTTAACCAATATTCACACTGTCTTTATCAGCAAACATTCTATCTCTGTCTATACTGAACACTCCTCCTCCATAAATATTACACACACTTATTTAGCATGTTTATCCCATAAATATAGCATACTTTAAAACTATATTTCATCATATATGATAGATAGATAGATAGATAGATAGATAGATAGATAGATAGATAGATAGATAGATAGATAGAAAGCCATTTTTTATAAGTTGATGATAACTAGATACTTAACAATTCTTTCTTTTTGTTGTTTTTTTCACATATCATTTCCTTTTGTTTGGTAAGGCAAAGGTGCGTTTATGCTTGGTTGAAAAATGAATTTTTTCAAAAAGGCAAAATTCGAGTCTCTTGTAGATCTCTCTTTAGACACCACTTACTTCAGACATTGATTTGATATTTCCATTATAAATTTTTTATGCTTGCTCTTTTCTTTCTTTTTTGTAGTTCATCAAAATTGTTAACTTTCAGAGTCAGAATGAGACTATTTAATTGTGTCTTCCTGCTTAATGTTCATTTATAGCCCAAAATAAATGCCTGACCTTTACCCTTTTCAGCTGATAAAACTATTAGCTGAGATTGTCAACAAAACTGCCTCTGCCCAAATTTTAAGTCTCTACTGATCTGTTTTTACATCTGTGTATATATTTGTGTAAACATTAGGATAAATACATCTGCATAAACAATGGTGTAAATACAGCTGGGTAAATATTTGTATGAATATTAGGGTATTAAGAAAGTAATTACATTTTACCAGATTGATTGATTGATTTGTATTTTTATAACTTATCAATCCTTTGTTGGTTGTTTAAAGATGAAACATATTTTGAATTGAAAGAGCAATTCTTTTTTTGTATGTGAATATTGCATCAACAATTTTTGTGAATAACAGCAATTTTTTCAGTCTTACTATTTAATTCATAGCTGGGGAGAAGATGGATTCTTATGTTTTCCAAGGACATTTATGTGTAAGTGAATGTGATGAACATTTTACCAGAAAGGATATAAGAACAAATGTAAGTTGAATTTACTGAATGTTCTGCCACTTAGAAAATGTTCTTGTGATTGAAACAACTGTGTTATCATTATTTACACTATTTATATTCAAACTATTATCCTCATCTTTGTTGTTGTTAGCACAACATTTTGGCCATTGTGTTCTCTGGCATTCCTCAGGTTCTATGTTAATCTGGATAACCTACAGGGAATTCTCAACTAAACCCTGTTCTCATTACACAGCCCATCTCTAGGGATATCGACTAGTTCTTATCTTTAATACTGTTCAGCTATTGCTCACCCATTTCCACTGAATCCAAGTGTACACTGCCCTTCTCAGGGATTGAACTCACAATCACTATGTCACCAAATTCACAAACCAACACTCTAATCCACTAGGCTATAGTCCCATAGAACAGATAAGAAATAACTGAGCAGTACTAAAAATGAGAATTAGACAATATCCTGAAACATGGGCAGTGGAATAAGAACAGTCTATCCCCATAGATTAAATAAAAGTTTCAGTTCAGAATTCCCTGTAGGTTACCCAGATTGATATACACCTGAGTTATGCCAGAGGACACAACAGACAAAATGTTGTGATAACAACAGCAAAGATGAGGACAATAGTCCAAATATAAATAGTGTAAAAAATGAAAATCTGTAGGTGCTAAATCTGGTGAGTATGCAAAATATGGAAGAAATTTGCATCCTAATGATCTTATTTTTCTTGGGTTTGTCTCGTAGAGTGTGCGCTTTCACTGTCAAGAATTACACCTTTTCTGTTTACCAAAATAGGACACTTTCAACATAATATTACACCTACTCAACTTGCTGGCAATAAACATCTTCCATTTTCCAACTGCTACCAAATCTACCAGACACATACAAGGACTATTGTGAATGGAGCCTTGGTTTTGGTGTTGGCACTGGTTTTTCATTTCATGATAACCACTTTTTTATCATTTTTTGTTGAGATGCAAGATCCATTTTTCATCATCAATGTTATACAAAAATAAAGGTTGGCATTAAAACTGCTACAGATGATTGAATGTTGTGTTCAGTTCTCAAGCAAAAGCTCATAAGGAACCTGAATTCTCTTTTTTCAAATTTCCCTAATGAAACTCTGAAACAACACATTATTGGATAGATAATGAAATAATTTTAGATGCAGTTCCCTATTTTTCCATATTGGTTGGTTGAGTGTAATTCATGGCAGTGAAATAAGTAATTATTTTTTGAACATCCCAATATCTTTGTCAATGCTTCTTCAAGGAAACTTCATATTTCCTGCCAACACTTGGGATTCATGTTCAAAGTCTGGTAAAAGCAATTATTTTGAATGCTGATTTTCAAAACAGATAGATTCTCCCCTCTTAGAACATTGATGCAACACAGTCTTTCTGTACACTTTTTTCTCTCGTTTCTTGCTTCCCTGTCACCTACAATCTTCAAAAATGTAAATGCAATGCCAATTGTCATCTTCTGTTTTCCTGAATTCTATTTTCCTTTCTCCTCACTGAAGATTTTTCATTCTCTTTCACTCCCAGTAACCTCTTGCATACTAGTGGTATTGTTGTCTTGCTTGGAGTGAAATAATTAAAAAAATGTATTGAAACAATGTCAATGTTTTCAGGTTATTTAATGTCAAATTTTGTTTAAGACACTCATTCAGGACTAAACTCATTAGACAGTAATAATGGTCAACCAGACTAACCTCACAAGCCATTATCCAACACTAAGGTACCTGGAAATGATTTTAATATGAAACTTCATTGTAAATGGTTTTACTATGAAAATGTATTGCAATTGATTTTCGGCTGGTTTTGTTGATTTTACAACATGTTGATGTTTTCAGGTTATTTAATGTCATATTTTGTATGAGGCACCCAGTGAGAATCAAACTCACTACTCAGTAGTGATGTTTTTGAATGAAGTTAATTTAAAATGAATGCTCCTAATATCATCTCACATCAAACACAAAAAAAATATCTTAGGCTAAATAACACAATTAGAAAAAAAATTTGATAAGACAATATTATGTGCCAAAGTTGAGAACCAAACCATAAACAAACGTTTAAATTATAAGGCTGCCATAAACAAAAGCAACAAAGCAAAAGACAAGCAGATCATTATTTATCTGTTTACTATTCAACTCAATTGCTGATAAATAACAGGAATAAATACAAATAATAACATCAGATATGAAAGTCAGTAACATAATATATGCAACACATGTTCATCAGTCATACATTATATTCATCACAGGATTTGTTAAGTGAATTCAGTTCTACAAAACAGAATAAACATAATTAACAACTTTTAAATAATTTTTTGTCTTCATTTAACCAATTCAAATCCAGATTATTTTTGTTAGGCCACTTAGGTTGATTGATTTTATGAAATTTCAGTTCATGTAATTAAGGTCAAATTTTGTATGGGGCACTCAGTAAGGATCAAACTCACAGCCTCATTCGTGTGCATAACAAATTTATTCCAATGACGTCCTGAAGGACAAAACATGTCCCAAATAAACTTTTTCCACTTTATTGTAGAATTTCCCCAATACTATTCTTGATATATCGTTATATATATATATATATATATATATATATATATATATATTTGGGATGCAACCTTTCTTTTAAACATCTTTCATTTTCATTAAATATAGCAGACAAAGAAGATTTAATTAATTTTTTATTTAGTTTTTCCAACATTCTTAGCTTTGTTTTGTAATTTTGTAGAAAGTGCTTGGAACAATGAAAATTATGGAAAATTTTTGTACTCTCTTACTCCTACAAAACAGAACAATGTAAGGATGCTAGAAAAACTAAATAAAAAATTAACTGAATTTAATGAAATATATATATATATATATATATATATATATATATATATATATATATATATATATGTCATCCATGAACAGACTGTTTCACTGTATCACAGCTCACCAGTGTAGCTAGACATCCGTTGCCTCTAGCTAGGATTGAAACCCAACTGAATTGGCGTCAGTCGGAGACTCTACTCCTAAGCCATTGCTTCATGACAGGGATGAAGGTGAATTTAAGCATATTTTTAAATAAACATGCCAGTGACTGAGAGAGAACTTGATTCGTTTTATCAAAGAGTATTGCATTAGTAGCATTATCAGTCACTTTTTACAAACTCACACTTTCTCCCCTGTGAGCTCAACCGAAATGATTTTTTCGGAGCATATATATTATCATCCATATATATATATATATATATATATATATTATTTGAGAAAAAGAATATTTTGATGGAAAATCGTATATATAATTTTTTTTTTAAATTCTTGGTACCATTATTATTATTATTATTATTTATATTTTTAGGCCTTAATCTTTATCCTTTTATAAAAAAATATGTGCAAAAGTGTCATGAATTAAATGGCTACATATATCTGACTGGAAAGTATTTGATTGTATACAAGAAATCTAGCCATCTCTCCTACATCTTTTTTCTCTCTTTTTCTTTTCCCTTTTCTTCTCTCTCTTTTCTTTCATATTCTTTGTCTCCTTCCTCTTTTACTGTCTAAAGATCCCTTTCTCTACTACCAAAATAAGGTCAACATGTCTAGAAACTAAAAATATACATTTTTAAACAAAATTTGAAATAGCTCTTTCTTTCTTCATCACCCTAGGCCTTTCTGAATACATACGTCTTCATGCCTCTCCTCTGCCTCTTTTTAAATTTGCATAAATTATGTTTATATCTTTCTTTGAACCTGGTAAAATATTTGTCCATTCATTTGTGTGTAATGGCTTTGGTCTGAAGAGTTGGAATCGAATTTTTCGATTCTAATGAAATAAATATCACCATGGGATTGTGAGTCTTTGTCTTCATAATTAATATTTGCTCTGTTTTTTTATATAGAGCTCTCCCTGGATTTAAGTGTGAATTTGTAAACAATGACTAATACTACTAATATTACAAGGCTCTTCCCTGAACTGAACACTGTCAATCATGTTTATTCAAAGAGTAAGTATGTAAAAATTTGCCTTTCTTTCAACCGTGCACCGATGGCTTAAGGGGAAAATGCTAAATCAGTCGGGTTTTGATCCCAGCTTGAAGCAATCGGATGTTTAGACACACTAATGGGTTAGAATAGCGAATAATCTGTCTGTGGATGACAATATATATATATATATATATATATATATATATATATTGTCATCC